AAATCGATTTTTTGACCGTGGCCACGATTTCTTTGATTTTTACTGACAATCACTATTAAAACGTGAAGTTTCTGTTCATATGACTTTCACAACGAGATCTCATGAGAAGATAAATCGGGACACTTTCACCATTATTTGATGACTACTCATATTACACACGGGAGTAACGAGAAGGGAGGAGGGGATTCGAAAATCTAAGTCAGCAAACGCTTTTGAATTTTCCACTTTTTTTTTTCCTTCGGCTAAACGGCAACAACAGGTGAATCCTAGCCAAGAGACAAATACTGACTTTTGCTAAGTTTGAAGCTGCAGTGTTAAAAGAAATCCGATAAGGCTAGGCTAAGGGACTTGGGTAAACGGTATCTCGAGCAGTTTTAACTCAGGTATAAGGTATTTTTTGTCACAGTTCGGGTATAATGTATTTTGCTTCGAGTTAATTTTAGGTAATTTACGGAATCACACCTTTTACAATTTTAAGATATATTGGTACTTCATGGGGTAAATATCGGGTAAATTAGTATATCCCACCAGCCCCAAGCAAGCAAGCGTGGAAGACACAAAAAACACAGCCGGTACCAGACAAAAGACTAGTGTTAAGGTCAAACATTACAAATTAATTGGGAGAGTGAAAAACAAATGTGACACGATTTGCAGTTGACATCCGTGATTGCGTTCAGTTGAAGATTGGGGTTCGACAATGAAGACGTTGTGTTTGCCCGTGTTGCTGTTGGCTGTAATTGTTTTAGGTTGTGAATCGCATCCAGGCCATGGGCGCCATGAAAAAAGCCATGACAATTTGAAAAAAAGGTTGCAAGAAGCCGGAATCGCTAATTTGACCATTCATCATGAAAAGGTAACAGATTTTTTTTTCTCTTGACACTTCATCAACACCATCACAGACACTAACTTCATTCCAAAAACACCTATATTTACACTTTTATCAAACAATTACTTCTATATGGTTTACATTTATTTTCTGTAATAATGGACACAATTTGCACATTCACTGAAATGCTTAACAGTTTTTAACATTAACACCCTTAAAGGAAAAATATTAGTAACGCAGTCAATTGCTATCGTTAAAAAGGAACTAACAATTAATTAACCCCTTAGGGAAAGTTCATTTAATATGACAAGAGAGGGGGATGAAGATATTGGAACTCGAAGCTTAAAATTTTAGCAGGCCTCCTCGCTAGCAGTTCAATATTTTAGAAGCCCCCCCCCCCCCCCCCCATCCTGTTGGTTTTGAAGTATACAAATTTTCGGAGCCCTTCTCTTAGTTCAACAATTTTTTCAAAGCCCCTCTTTCAGCTGTCTAAAAATTTTCGCCCCTCCCTCCCTCAATATCTTCATCCCCTCCTTGTCATATTAAACGAACTTTCCCTTACAATCGTCACTCTAATTTCTCTGCCAGGATCTAGATAGAACTCTCACAGGAAGAGCATTTTCTGAAAAACGGCAAATCTCGGAACGCGGCTACCTTTTTTAACTTCGGCCTCCCCTGAATAAATCTCCGTTTTACTTATTCACCACTTTAAATAGGTATACGGGATTAGTGAGGTGGAGTCGGGAAAATTAGTTGTAGAAGTAAGCACACCAATTAATGGGATTGGGTCAGGCAGTTTCCTGGGTTATTGCTTATGATTTTAACAATCCAACAAAACAATCCTGGAATGACGTAAACATATGTCTCATGGCGATAAAGCTCGATTGGTTGGAGCTCCCTTGTCAATAAAAAAATGAGATTCGAGCAGTTAAATATCGTAATACATCCCTTTCGGCTTACAACTTGGGCCGGAATACGAATTATTCTCAGATTAAAATCTGTCTTGGGAGTGAAGGGATTAAGCTAAGACATAAAGACCGAAAATCGCTTGTCCGCCTTCTTCTGCTCAGTGGCGCTTCCTTATTTTCTTTCTTTCTATCTTCCTTTCTCTTGCTTGCCCCTTTCCTTAAGAACTTTTTTCTTTTTTTCCCTCCTTCTAATCCATTCTCTCTTTTTTTTCCAGGTCGGACACAAGCGTTTTATTGGCGGAATCATCGCAGCCTTCACCCTTTTTAACGATCTTGCCGACTTTATGGGGAGGGTCAATAACGTGGTCGGCTGGTTTGACAACATCGACCGCTTTATGGGATCAGGAGGAACAGAGAGTGAAAGTGAAGTTAATGTTGCAGAGATCAATGAGTTAAAGACAAGGTTGGATGGTTTAGCGACTGACGTGGAGAGTAAGATTGAACTCAGAATGTTTGATGTTTATAATTTTTAACGGATCAGCTTCTCGTAGAGAAAAATTAGAGGAAATGAAAAATCCATCATTATATGTCTGGTATACAATGCCTGAATTTTGTTATCGGTCGCAGTCAGTCTCCTTTACGGATCGAGTCTACCTTTCGGTAGGTCGGATATTGGTAGAAGGATATATTAAAGCGTCTTATTCTAGCATCGTTTGGGTCGGTAATTGGTTATAATTAAGTTTCGTCATTTTCCCTCTAGGCATTAATTGTTTTCCTGCTAAACGTTTTTTTGACCGTCGATTTTAATACTGTAACCACAGAAAGATATTTCATTGGTTTTTTTGTATTTTAATGATATTTGCTGATTTTCAGTTTTACATACAATTTTACCACACACTATTCTCGCTTACTACCTTACTACCTCACTTTAACTCACTACACACACACACGCGCGCGCGCACGCAATATTTCACTGATGACTCTAGAAGGTTTCAACGAAGGTCGCCGACGTCATCTTGGATGTGGGGCAAACGCGGCAAAAATTTACAGTGAATGTATGGAAAAAATCCTGCCGGATTTTGATTCTCAATAGCTTGGGCAAGGTTGATATTCTGAAATTTCTGTGGAAACTAAAGATCTTAGCTAAGAGTGTTAGCCGATTAAATTTGAAGGGTACCGGTTCGCTGAGAAGCGAGAATTCGCTCTTTTAGTTATTCATACAAATGCTTCTCAATTTTCCCGCGAACGGCGGCTCCATTTTACAGACAAATATATGAAAAATAAAATTTAAATTTGCGATTTTCTTTGTAAGAGTACAATTCTCAAATTTGATTGATTACCTCTTTTAAGTAATATTTTCAGTTTTGTAATTCATAGAAATTGCAGAATGTCAACCTTCCCCAAGTTATCGAAGACCAAAATCACGACTGTTTTTCCCATACATTCAATGTTTGCCCCACAACCAAGATGGCGTCGGCGACCGTGAAACCTTCTATATACTCAACGTAGTCAATATGCAATCTTTTCCATAGACGGTTTCAAAAGCCTTCTTGCTGGGGGTGAATACACAGATGTGTTGAATATTGTGGCCAACGACGTGGAAAAATTACAGCTTATTGATGGTTATCAAAGAGAATACTTAGCAGAGGTAAAGCGTTACAAAGAACTACCTGCAGGAGAGAGAAATAGCGAAGAAATGGCTGCTAGTGAAGACAGTTGGTTCGAGAGTGTGAGTTTGTTTCTTATTCTGACTATTCAGGGGAAAACCCCTATTTCGTCTAACATATATACATCCAAGCCCCGGCT